TTGCTCCCTGGCTTCACAGATCTCCTTTTGCCTGTTCCCAGTTTCATCTACCCACAAATGGTGGGGGGGAATGCCCAAAGGAATTCAATTTCTAAAAACACTCAGAATTCTGAGTCCACTGAAGTCATTGCTAAAACTCCCACTGACCTGAATGGGCTACGAGTTAAATTAGTGAGGAGGACAGGATTGACAACAGCGACAGAGTTAATTACCTAACCCCCAACACAGTGTCAGGCAATCCACTGACGCATGGGCTGCCTGGATCTTTATCAATTGGAGCACCTTTAATGACAAATAAACAGTATGTGCCATGTAAGAAATGGCATCACCATTTTACTTCAAGCTCAAAAGACACTGGTGGGAACACCAAAGCCTGACAACTAGATTTGGAGACTCACCCAAAAGAAATTTTGTTCATCTCTTAAAAAGGGGTAACAAATTGGCACATACAAGGTAACAGAACAAGAGGAGGTGCCCCCCAACTTACATGTGGTGCTGTCAGGAGGGGGGAATTGGAGAGGGATGAAGCTGCACGTGAGGTCACTTTAGCTGTGGCTTGTAGTTGGATTGGGCTTGATGGAGGAAGGGATCTGGTTGGACTCTGCCCACCCTCAGAGTCACTGCCATGGCTGCTGGGAGGGGTTGGAGGCAAGTGCAAATTCACTGCTGAATGGGAAAGGAGAAACAAAAACAAAGGCTTTGATCATAAAAGGCCAAGTCAGGTGTTCTCAGAAAACTACCACCCGCTTTAAAAAACTAGGGGCAAGTCAGCACCGAGGGTCATTTGTTAAAAAGCTGACAGCAGAGAAGTGGAACCTTTGAAGGCGCTTGAATGTGCAGGGTCCCCAAGCAGAGATGCAGAGGCAACCCCAGCCTTTCAGAGAGGCTGTAAATAGTCATGGCCCTGAAACATTTAGTCTAGCAGCAGACAGTTATTTGGAGGGTTAAGCAGTTTTGTTCTGTTGGGGTGTATCAAATGGATAACCCTTGTTACTGCAGAAAGAACTTTCCCCATTCCCTGCCAGCTAGTTCTGTGTGGGAGCCCAGTTTGAGCCCATGGTACCTCTGCTGATATTACTAACCTGGGTATTACTTAGTACCAAATTCATAGGAAGATCTCTTATATTGATACCTGTCCAGGAAAAAGCAGGGCAAACTCACTCATTTATTTTTCATAGGCCACCTAGCAGCTGCCCATAGTGGCACTGACTTAGAGTTGCTGTTGACCTGGGCCAAATTTTAAATGATCACAAGTGAGAAGGAAAGCTGAGGGTTCAACCTACCATTCCATTCATGCTTTGTAAATTGAAGCTTAAAAATGTAAAGCAGGTAGTGTGGGAGAAAAGAACAAAACCAGAAAAGCTGATTGTCTTGACCAGTCTAGACTGGTCCTTTAATCATCTACTGTCAAGTGGCCAGTACCTGATACACAGAAGATAGAAATCCCCTAAATGCAACCAGCCACTGGTGTAATACCATATATTTAGGGTGACCATATGTCCTGTTTTAGCCAGGACAGTCCTGGATTTCAGAGGCTGGGCTTGGCCAGCTGTTGCGAATTAATGGGCATCCTGCAAAAACAGGGGCACAGGGCACAGTCTGCAGTATGTGACAGAGTGCCTTGCAGGCAGGCAGGCAGGCTGGCATGCAGCCCCACCCCCACAAACTTGTGAGAGCATGGAGGGGTAGAGGTGGGGGCAGTGTCTAATATTTCCCCAGTTATGTCCCAGATTTCCATATGGTCAGCCTACTTATATTAGGCTAAGTACTGCCGGACCCCTACCTACCACCAAGCCAATTACTGCACTCCCTTATCTGACACAACAGTCAGAAAATTATCTACTCACAAACACAGCCAGATCCCTTGACATTTTGTGGCAAATGATTCCACAAGCTGCCTGACTTCCTGTTGCACAAAGCTGTATGTCATCTTTGGGTACGGGTCTTTTTGGTCTAGGTTTGTACAGCACAGAGTACAATGGGATCCTGACTTAATGGGGGACCTCCAAGACACTACAATCATTTGTGCACCTCAACTGATTTCCTGTTTATTTTGTCACCTCATCCCTTTATCTGTGCGCCATCTGACAAAGTAAAAAAAGGACAGTCAGGTTCCACTTCTCTGAACGTCTCAGTCACATCTAGTCAAAATGCATCTGTTTTCTATGCTAATAAGTTATATACCTTCAGGATTTGAGTTCTCTCTGAAAACTGTCCAATCAGTTACATGATAAAGATAGAGCAAATTCATATTCTTTAGTGAAGCCTCTTTGACCCATTTATATACTTTTTTTCTTACTCTTATGTTTTTTTGGAAGCCAGTATCTGTTCCCTAGAAGGTGTCCCAACTTTGTCTGGAGACAAAATAGCTAGCTTTCCAGTTCTCTTGGCTAAACAAGTTCAGCTTTATTCATACCACATTCTGGCCATCAGTACAGTAGCTTGGGCTAGTAATTAACAAACCTTCCTTAGAAGAGAGGTTCAGGAATTGATCCACTTCATGTGGCTCCAGTTTAATCTCTGGAAGAACTTTCTGGCTCAATGGTTTACTCTAAAGGAGAAATTATGGGGTGGGGGGGCACAACATTAAAATGCAAGTAGAAGGACAGAGGTCAGTTTTTCCATAAACAGACAGGCTTCACTCCCCTCCCCGTCTGCGTCAGAGAGCTTTTTATTGCTTCCCTATAACTTATTAACCCAGGTAAGTGAGACTATTGCCCTGCAACTATTTGCTGGGTCCTCCATTACTACTATATTTATTTACTTAAATAAAAGATTACTTCTCAGGATGATATTTCAGACTGAAAGGTACACTCCAATTACTTTACTTGGTAATGGCGCTGCCACTAGGATTTGCCTGACAACTACACAAGATTCTGCGGATAGAGAGCACTTTTCTTTTGTGGGAAAAGTCTGGCAGCTTAGATAGGTCAGGGCACTTGGCACTACCAGGGCAGTATCAGGGGAGCTATCATCTGGGACAGAGATCAGGGTGTTTATCAATAAGAGTCAGGATATTGGACCCAGGTTCGTTTTGCAAGCAGAGGAGCACAGGTGGAGAAGAGAAGGTCAAGGCAGACCAACCAGCAAGAAAAGTTACAGGCCTATGCTGGAAGGGGATGCGGATAGGGCAAGGACATAGTGCCGCTGCACACGATTGTACCTGGCAGCTCTTTGTAATCCAGGATTCCCAACCCAAGCAAATCAGCCCTGCTCATCATAGCACCCAGTATATCAGAAGTGTTATTGGGTAACTTGTAGGACCACAACGAAGGATGCCTATACACATGCCTTGAGGCTGTACATACATATAAGCACCCTTTAATCATCTATACATGATTAATTGGGTCTGCTGGAGCATGCTGCAACACCATGTGCATCAGCATCTCAGCGCTGAAAAATGGTGGCAGGGGCACTTTAGCTATAGCCCCCACCACCTTTTATTAGCACAGGGATACTGATACATGTGATGCTCCAGGCACTTTAATTAAAGCACCCCTTGTCCCTGAGCTCATGTATAAACACCCAAAGAGTAAAAGTTAATCAAGTAACCCAGCAGTACAGGGAAGCAGACGGGTGCCTACGACCACCAAAGTAACCAAAGAAAGGGGCTTACTCTGCTTATGATAACATGACATCTCAACTATAGCAGGACTGCACAGTGCAGATGGTGCATTCAGATTTACAAAAATTTCAGATTACAAAGTGAGGCCTGCCACTCCCACCTGCCTGGGGAATGAATTAATTTGTATGCAATATTTCTGATACGCAACCAAGTAAGAACACTCATTTTTAACAGGGCCTGCCCATGCCAGTTGCCTAGTCTCTCCAGTCTCCAAATGCTGGATATGACCAGCCCCTTCACCATTGCAGCTGGGCTGGGGGCAGAGCAAAAGGTAGGAATTCAATCAACTTAGCTGGTTGGAGCATTCAAAGCTAAACCTTGGTCATTACTTGATGGCTGTTGAATCTGTGGTCACAATTGCATCTGGAACATTCCTTATTAGGCCAATTGGACTGGGAGCAGCAGCAGCTTGAAAGGATCTGAACACTGAATACAAAAACCAAGGGACCTAGCAAGCCTGCACTGATGTAGCTCTAGAGACTGCAAAGTGTGGTACAGAAGTTCTCACTACAGTTTTTGGCTACTCAGTCTTAAAGCTTTAACAGCTTTGGAGGCAAGTCATTATGGGTGATAGAGGGTGTGTAGCTTGCCACAAATTCAACAACAGGACTAATGGATTAGCAATTCTAGGAAGAACTGATTCACCAGAGACTGAGTGAGCATCTGTAAAAGGGCATGAACTGCAGGCTATTATCCTGCCCAGGCACAGCCAACAGCATTAGAAAACACCAGTTAATAAACAAATACCTGCAGTGTTGCTGAAAAAAAAAAGAATAGGCAACACCAAACCATAATGTATAGCATGGCTGAGTTCACAAACCTGCATATCAAAAATGCTACGCTGATATACAAAGCATTGTGGGAACCTGCATCTAAAACTAGAGATGCGGGAAATATAAAACCAAGTACCGTGTCATCTGTCTGGTCATCTTCACCTTCCAGCGACGTGGGTATGACATTGAGGCTGACTGAAGGTGTAAGGCCTGAGGCCTCACACAATACCGGTTCAGTCTTTATGGATGATGAAGTCAACTCTGCACTCAGACACCATTCCTCATTTTCCAGATCAGCTGCCAAGGAGAAAGAGTTTATGGGAGAGTTAAAACAAACACAAAACCAGAGTGCCTCTGCTGTGATGAAGAGCAACCAAGAAACTTTCATCACTAATCAGTGGAACCCCACTAGGGTTACCATATTTCCAATTTCAAAAAAGAGGACACCTGTTGAGGTAGGGGATGGGAGGCAATATGACTGTGGGGGGACAGTGATATGCCAGTGTCCTGCCCCGGCCCCTCACTCCCAAGCCACAGCTCCCCCCAGCCCTGCTGCTGCCCCTCACTCCTGACCCACAGTACCCCACACCCAGACCATGCTGGTACCCCTCAATCCCAACCCACAGCCCCCTGGATCCTGTTGACACCCTTCACTCCCAACCCACAGCCCCCTGGCACCACACTACTGACCCACAATCCCCCATCCCCTGGTGCCCCTCACTCCCAACCGACAGCTCCCTCCCCTCCCCTGCCCTGCAGGGTCTCCTGGCTGCCCTGCCCCTGCGAGCACATGCACCGGCCCTGCTGGCCAGGCCATGGAGCTCCCTGCTGCCCCCAGAATGGTCCCTACGCCCTCGTTCCCTACTGGTGGGCAGGTGCCTCCCCCACCTCCCCTGCCCTACTGCAGTCCTAGCATCCAGACAGCTTCCCCCAGCACTGGCAGGGGCGGAACCCCCCAGCTTCCCCCAGCACTGGCAGGTACGTACCCCCCACTCACACATCCACACAGCCTCCCTAGATAGCTCCCAAGCCCTGGCCCTTCAACCACTCCTCCCCCCTGCCCCCCCATAGACTTACCTGCATGCAGCTGCTCCCACCACCCTGCCTGGCTGCATGCTGGCCATGTGTGTGCGTGCACAGATGCACACAGCGCCCCCTGCCTCTAATTGCCTTCCCCCACTCCCCCTAGCCCCAAGCAACTCCTTGCTAGGGCAAACCAGGAAGTGCTGGGGAAAAATAACTTTGATCCTGAGCAGAGCACAATCCCAAACATTTGCTGATATTTTAAAAAGACTGCCCAGACAGAGATGGGAGGACCCAAAAAGAGGACATGTCCGGGAAAACCCGGATGTAGTAACCCCACACGTAACTACCAGACTACTTCACACCTAGTCAACCACACCATTTCATAATTGTAATCTCATTTTAGCCCCAGGACACAGGGAGGAGAGGGAGACAGAACTAATCACTTCAAACTGCCAAAAGCTGCTAACAGACAGCAGAGCAGGATTAAACATGCCACTGGAGAAAGCAGCCAAGGAGCCATCTTCGTCACAGGCCAATACCTGCTGAGCCAGTTTTGTTCCTACCAGCATCTGGACAGCCTTTTGCTCTTTCCACAGCCTGCAGTAGTTTCATAGTTGCTGAGATTGCATTATGCTTTTCAAGAAGCAAGAGGTTTTCACTTGTGCAAAAATCAGGATTTTCTCCCCAGGGTTTCATTTAGTAAGTGTAAAAGAGGGTAATGGCTTCCACGATGACACAGGAGCTTTGGTGGCATAGTGATTATGTTAATTTTCTCCCCAGAGCAGCTGGGAGTCACAACAGAAGATGTGTATTTTGACTAGAAGTAATGAAATGTGCATCATGTACTGGCAAAGCCCATTTACAAAAAGCTCAGAGATCAAGTGCAGCATTTTGCTGGACAAAACTAGATTGCTCACATTCTGGGCCAGGATTTGGCACGACTGAAAAGTTATGCGGGAAGAGGGGGATAACATATAATTGCAGAGCTTCCAGTGACACCTATGGGTCAATGCAAGTTGTGAATGACAGACAACCTGTGGAGGGAGCCATAGTTGCTTGCCTTGTCCCAAAAAAGAAAGTTACTATGGTTAGGCCCATGAGAATAGAAAGGTAACAACTCAAGCTTTAAACACAGAAAATCCCTGCCATTACACACACACACACACACACACACACACACAAATGAATTCTAACCACTACGTTCTGCTTAAACACTTTACTGCTTGCTGTAGTTCAGTTCTAAAACCTATTCATCCCTCTTGCTTCAGAGGTGGCTGCATTTCAGCAGCGGGTAAAGCTGACTTAATGGTGTTTGGAAGAAACGTGCTATAGCAATCAGTTAAAAATTGAGCCACGTTGCATAAATGTATAGGGAGGTGAGAGTTTTTATTCTTTCTGCAGCTTCTCCATTCTGCCTCCACACACAGTACTTACTGCATATATAGAATCGAAACAAAGCAGAAACCTTTACGTGTGTACGTATCATGTCAAACATATACTCTATATACGCGCGTGTGTAAACTCTAAAATCCCAAACTCTTCTGTGTATCATTAATATCTATATAAATATATATAATATAATAAATAATATAAATATATAAAAGCAGAACCTAGTAGTTAGAGTGTGTGCGCGCATATGAATGGCAGGAATTTTCTGTTTTTAAAAGTCCAAGTTGTTACCTTTCTAGTCTCATATATATGTATATATTCATAATACACAAACGAGTTTAATTGATTTATCAACAGCATGCCCTTCAAATATGCTCATAGCAGCACACTACACTTCATCCAACACTGAAATGCAACCACTTTGAGCCAGAAACACTGCATACAATAGTGAAATTCCTTACACACTTGGGCAGAATGAAATTCCTAAGAGTTCAACTGCAAATAGGCAAAGAAATCAGAACAAATGAGCAGTCTCTAATGTTTCTGCAGCCCACTGATACAAGCATTGCACGCCGTGTTGCTGGCAACTGAGTGCCTGGAAAGAGAGAGCGAGAGCGAGAGCGACACACAACATGCAGCTCTGATGCTAGTAATTACTTTGTGGTGTAACGTAACCTATATTGCTGGCAAGCGAAGGTGTAATTTGAATAAAGACACACCAAGGAATTAAAAATGAAAATATATATCCTGTAATCAGAAACTTGAAACAGCAATCCCAATTCTGCCAGGAAAAGTAACTGTATAGCAAAGGCTAAGAACCATCATATTTAAAATGCCTATGCCTGAATTTTTCAAGGCAGCTTAAAAAGAAAATATTGAAATATTTACAGGAAAAGGCAATCTTATTCAAATATCAACTCCTACAAAGGATACCACATGCTTGCAATTTTCCCGTTATGATAGCAATCGTAGAGAAGTAGGGCTGGAAGGGACATGTAGTCCAACACCCTTATCCCTATCCAAACTATCCTATACAAACCATAATCGAAACTCTACATAAGACTACCAGTCAAACCTGACAACACAGACCTAGCACCCTAACCTGCCATACATAAGAGAGGGGAACCATGGCAGGCAACATCCTCCACCTCCTTCCCCCACTACAGGGACTATACCTATTCTACCAAACAGCTTTTCCTTCAGTTTACTGCATGGATCATTTATATGCGACCTCCAAAATCCTTGTCCAGACCCAAAAAATCCTGTAGTACGCTTGATAAAAAAGAAGTGTTAATTTTGGTGGACTCAGCCTAAGTATCCCCTCCCCTTAATTGTTCTGTGCTGTCCTATGCATTAGTTTGTTTTCTTTTCTCCTCACCAAAAAATGCTGCTGCTTGGAAGTCACTGATTAATTGTCATTTGTAAGCAATGTTTGGGAAGACAGGCATGATATTCTGCACAAGCAAGCCTCAGGGCCTTCCAAGATATGCATCACTGCAAAAGCAGGACAGAAATGCAGCCCTGAGCTCCTGGGGGAAAGAGGCCATTCCCTCTGGTTTCTGCTGTGTGACTTTCTAATCTGATTTCACTTTCAAAAAGGCTTGGCTGCCACAACAGAGGCAATATGTACTCATTCTTAAATCACTTTGCTCCCCTGGAATCCGATCCTGCTCGTAACTCTGAGGCCCTTAGGAAAAGTCACTTATTCTGCAGAAACTGTTTGAGAGAGATTCTAGACACGAAAAGCCAGTTTAACCAGTAAGATACTCATCAGGGCATGAAAAGTTTAGCAGTAAGTGACATGCTATATTTAACCTGGAGATCACTATGAGGAACCTTATCTAGTTCTTTTCTTGACATCGGCTCATAGAGTGACACTGAGAACTAGACCCACCTAACCATCCTCTGCCTCCCTCCCCCACATTACTGTTACACTAACCACCATGCTGGTATTGAGCCAGCCTTACCTTTTCTTTACCTCCAAATCTTTAAAGGCACCTGGGAGCTCTCATCATATCAAAGAAAGCTCCAGATATTTCCCTCCACTCCCCTGCCTCACCCATTCCACAGACCTGAAACAGAATGGATCAATATAGCTGAGGACCTTTTTACAAGAACCATATTATAATAAAATTCCCATGGGACTGGGAGAAAGTCTACTAGGAGGTGTTCGCTATAATAAGGTTAGTCAATCTGCTGCACCCCAAAACTGGTTCCTTCTATTAGGATTGTTAAAAAGCTGGAGTTTGTTATAATAAAGTTTCATCATAGTATTGAGGAGTCCTAGTCACATATTACAGCCCAGAACTGCTATACTTCACTTATAAGTTTTTGGGTCTAAGACAACAAAAGACAGAGGACAGATGGATTTGGGTAGATGGGGAAAATGCTATGAAATAACAAGACAAGGTTGATCAGCACAGTAGACAGTGGTCTTGGCAGCACATTCCTCATTGTATTTCTTTGTCGACATCATGGTCAAGGCGGGGCTTACAGAGACATTTGAAGAACAATGAAATGGCTTTGTGGGTGCCTACAGCAAGGCATGTCCAATTATGAGGAGCAAGACAAGGGAAAGTCATAAGCAATGGAGACAGCATAGCCCAACTGGAGGTTGGAAATCAACCTTTCAAAACTGAATTAGAAGTGATCAGTAGGGAGGGAACAGGCCCATGGAGGGCTCTGAAAGCAAACAGAAGCAGCTGCTGCTGGATAGCATAAAGTAAGGAGGGGGTGGCCAACAGAATGACACAAATGGCAACAAAATACTGTAGTCAAAGCAACGCTTAGGAAGACAAACTCTGCAGCAGCAGCAGTCTGAATAGACATGACCAAGGCAAGATTATATCGGTCAAGCCAGAAAGAAGAACGCTGTGGCAAAT